AAATTGAAGAAAAAGCTTAAAAAGGGACATTGCTATCATCTGCCAAAATTATAAAGAAATAACTAGTGAGTTCTGTCAAGCCTAACTAATATGCGCTCGGCGTTCTGCTGTAACTCTCCCAACGTCGGTCAATTGTGATCAACTTGTGACCAATGCAGGCAACTAGAAATAACAAAACCTGTATTGGCAAAGTGAGTATGAGAAGCAACCCGGGGAACTTAGGGCAATTTCAAGGCCACCCCCCCAGGAGGAACAAACATGCCCAGAGGTGTCAATAATGATCTTGGCCCAACCACATGTTCTGAGAGCCAGGATCTCCCCTGGAGCGGTTCTCACAAGCGCAGCTGGTTCCGGCAAGGGCAGGATGTCTAAATGAGACCTCAGGAAGTCAGCAGATGCTTCAGGGAGCAGGGTAGGGGGGATCACTCCTGACAGGCAGTGCTGATCCAATGAGGAACAAGGGGCCGCTCTGATGCAGGGAGCAGGGTGGGAGGTTCAGTAGGGGGTGCTCTTCCCTGGCTGTGAGTGTTGGCTCCAATGCCCCAGTGCGGCGCTAGAGGGTGCGGTGATGTGGGGAGGGAGGTGGGAGTACAATATGGGGGGTCTCCATCTCAATCAGGGCTGACCCCAATACCCCAGCACGGCACTGTGCTCAGGGCCGGCTCCAGGCACCAGCCCACCAAGCTGGTGCTTGGGGCGGCACCTGGAGGGGGGCGGCGCGGCGCTCCGACCCGAGAGCGGGGCCGCGACTGGGCTCGCCGCCCTCCCCCGGCGCTGCCTCTGCCGCGTGGGGGGGAGGGGCGGCGGGAGGCTTTTTTGCCTGGGGCGGCAAAAAAGCCAGAGCCGGCCCTGGCTGTGCTGCAGTGAGTGCCGGCTTGCATATGAGAAATAGCCAAATCACTGGCTCCGCTCTGAACATCCCTTAGCACTTTCTCCCCTAGTTGGGGTTTGAACCCTGGTTTCCTGGTTGAATATCTCCTTTAGATGTTCCATTCATTTCCTGGTACCCAGCTGCCCCACCCCAAAGGTGGCTGCCTCTCAGTGCTGGGCAAATGAATCGGAATGGCCAGTATATGGTTGTTATCGGCTGCCCCACGCCAGAGGTTCAACGACCGCAGCCCTTCTGTTCCCAGACATCTCAGGCTATTTACCTAACTGATGTCTGTTTCCAAAGCCCTTGGCTCCTACCCAACAGTCCCACCTGGGCGGTCCAGATCCCCCTCCGCCTGTGTGTGCAGAGCCCCGTGAGGTCACAGATTTGAGGATAAATAAGCCCCCGGTGGCTGCTCCCTGGCTGTTACTCTCAGCATCTGAGGCATCCACTCGACTCCCGCAACAACTGGTCCCTGTTATGAGGCACAGCGAGACCCACAAAGCTGTGAGTGTGCCAAGGCGAAGGGCAGGTGAGTCTGGGCTACCCGAGGCCCCACTGGCTCCGAGACTTGGACAGAGGGGGGAAGGGAGAGAAGGAAGTGGAATAACAATTAGAATTGGAATCACTCTTGGTAATTACCCACTTAATACCCTCTCCACAGATCCCATTCTCAGAGCTGGGCATAGAACCCAGGAGTCCTGTTCCCTGTCCCCTGCTCTAACCCACTAGACCCCACTCCCCTTCCAGAGTTGGGGATCAAACCCAACAGTCCTGGTCCCCAGCCCCCCTGCTGTAACCCATTAGCCCCCACTCCCCTTCCAGAGCTGGGGATAGAACCCAAGAGTCCTGGTCCCCGGCCCCCCTGCTCTAACCCACTAGATCCCTCTCCTGTCCCAGAGCCAGGGACAGCAAGGGAAGGAACATTTGATCTGCCTTCTCTGCCTTTGGTTGTTTCCTCCTGGCTATGCTGTGGATTCTCACTACTGAGCCCATTGCCTGCCTCTTCCCGGCACCCAACAGGCCCAAACCAGCAGGGATCCCCGAGAGAGTATCTGCCCAAGGAGATCCCGGGGTCACAGCTGCTGGGCTCAGAGATACAGTTCTGGCAGATGCTGTGAAAGGCAACCTCAAGCACTAGGACACCTGGGTTCTATTCCCAGCTCTGGGAGGGGAGTGGGGTCCGGTGGTTAGAGTGGTGGGTACTGGGAGTCAGGACTCCTGGGTTCTATCCCTGGCTCTTGCAGGAGCACGGGATCTAGTGGGTTAGAACAAAGGGAGTCAGGACATTGGGCTTCCCTCTAGCTCTAGGAGGGGAGTGGGTGGTTAGAGCAGTGGGGGCTGGGAGACAGGATTTCCAGGTTAGAGCGGGGTGGGAGCTGGCTTCTATCCCCAGTTGTGGGAAGGGATGTTATGGTCACCCCACAACCTCTTCCACTCCGTTCCCCAAGAACTCAGTTCCACTCCAGCCTGGACGCTCTGGTCCCTGTATTTGGCACACAGCAAAGCTACGCTCAGTTGATCAGACTCAAGCGTAGAGGGCAGGTGGAGGGCGTACCCCACACCCATAGTTACACAGCAAACCTCTTCCTTTGTAGATATTTACACATTACTCAGCATTCGCTACACATTGCATCACGTGTTTGGGGATTGGCTTGGTCACTTTGCAGGAACCAATCCCTGTGCAGCATGCACTGTCCAGGCACTGTCATTGGACGACTTACTCTTTACCTCATCTTACATTCCAGGCTTCTCTTGCCCATTTGTATCATGTCCATTGTAGATGGTTCCCTGGGGGTTCCCCTTTATTTTAGCTCAGACAGACATTCTGCTTCCAGCCTGCTGATTTATTTACCTCCCTAATCCTGTCTCCCAAGAGATGAGGCTTCACCCATGTCCAATTATTCATGACAAGCCAGGCCTACAGGGGAGTGGGGTCTAGCGGTTAGAGCAAGGGGTGGGAGGCAGGACTCCTGAGTTTTATCCCCAGCTCTGGAAGGGGAGTGAGGCCTAGTGGGTTAGAGCAGGAGGCCTGGGAGTCAGGGCTGACACAGATCTGGGACTGAGAGGGCAGGGGGGGACTGACCAGATGCTGTATTTTCTAAAGGGGATCAAGGCTGATATAGGGAGCTCCCACCTGCTGTCTGGATTTAGGTGGCTGGGACTGAATGGGAGCCAGCACCAGGGCCGGCTCTAGGTTTTTTGCCGCCCCAAGCAAAAAAAAAATTTGGCTGCCCCCC